AGATAGATAGATAGATAGATAGATAGATAGATAGATAGATAGATAGATAGATAGATAGATAGATAGATAGATAGATAGATAGATAGATAGATAGATAGATAGATAGATAGATAGATAGATAGATAGATAGATAGATAGATAGATAGATAGATAGATAGGAGGTTTTTTTTTTTTAAAAAAAAGGAGAATAGTGCAAAGGGGAAGGTGAGTCTGTGATCGAAAGGTCACCAGTTCTACTCCTTGAACTGACAATATCAAAATGTGAGTGGGAATTGTGAAGCTCCATCCTCATCTACCGCACTTTGGGCCCTTGAGCAAGGCTCCTAGCACCCTCCATCTGCTCCCCTGGGTGCCTTTGATAGCAGCTCTCTGCTCCACACAGAGGGCTGGGGTAGCTGGGTGGTCTGTGGTTGTGTCAGGAATAGTATCTGGGGTCAAAACAAGTGCCAAGTCTTTGTGCGAGTTTGTTCTCTGCGGAGAGACCCCTGAGGAAGGGAGCAGCCAAAAGAAAAAAGTTGGGATTTAAAAACATAAGTAAATATTGTATGGAACAATTAAAAATAAAACCTAAAGTCTAATCTCCATGAATAAAAACAACCAGTCTAAAACCAGTGTAGCATTAGGATGCAGGGTCTAAGAGGTTAAGCAAAATATATCTTTTTTATAAATATAAATTTGGAAGATGAAAAGCTTCAATAAGATGATTAGTGCGAGTGCTTTTCTGAAACTACTATGGCCTAAAGCAAATAAAGGAATATATTAGAATAAAACTATATTAAAAATATACACAGTTAATGTTTTATTTATTTGTTTAATTTTTGTTTTGTTTTTAGTAGTTTGAGACATTTATAATACCCAATTTTTGTTCACAAAAAAAAAAAAAAAAAGCAAAAAAAAAGAGAGATTACATTTAAAAGTGGTTGCTTGCATGAGGAAGCTTGTTTCTAATGTTTTGTTCAATGTACCTCTTCAAATTAAAGATGTATTTTACTTTATTTTAGTGAAAAGGACAAAAAGCTTCAAGGTATGGTATTCAAGGTTAATGACCCATTAAAACTGGATTGTTGCAGAAGTCTACATGTTCTGGTTTCTGCACATCACATAATTAAATTGAATTCATTTCATTTATACAGCACAAAGTAACAAGTCATCTCAGGGCACTGAACAAAAAAAATCATAAACAGTTGTCCCTCGCTACATCGCGGACTCGCTACTTCGCGCTTTTTCAAAATAAGATTGGACCTGATACACAACTGGCTGATTGATGGATGAGCTGCACGATCAGCATGAATTTTTATTTTAAATAAATTATTTTAAACAATCTGTGAGAGCTGAAATCATGACCTCTTTTAGAACGTTTAGAGTTTAGAAACATTGTTTAGAACATTGCAAGAGTTTGGGAAGGGTTTTAAATGCCCTTAAATATATATATACCTATTAGGTTAAGGCTTTATTACATTTTTCTAGCATTTTGCTACATTTAGCTAGGCTTTTTGCTACTTTAATTTTTTGTTCCTTTCAGCTTGCCTCTAGCTACCTTTAGCCAGCCTTATGTTATTTTTTTGCTTCTAGCTAGTATTTTGATAATGTTAGCTAGCAGTTTGCTGATTTGAGCTAATCTTTTACCATTTTTAACTTGCCTTGTGTTAAATTTACCTTCTAGCTAATATTTTGATACATTTAAATTTTAGCTAGTGTTTTGCCAAATTTAGCTAGCACATTGTTATTTTCATATTGTTTGCTACATGTATTCATTCATTCAACCTTTATTTATTCAGTTTAGTCTCATTGAGTCACGAGGACTCGTTTACAAGAGAGACCTGTTT